AGAGAGAGAGAGAGAGAGAGAGAGAGAGAGAGAGAGAGAGAGAGAGAGAGAGAGAGAACTTTATGTGAGTATGGGTGTTTTGCTTGCATTTACCTTAGTATACCAACTGTACTCCTGGTGAGACCAAAGGAAGACTGTCAGATAATTTACCTTAGTATACCAACTGTACTCCTGGTGAGACCAAAGGAAGACTGTCAGATATCCGAAACTGGGGTGACAGATGGCTGTGAACCACCATATGGATTCTGGGAACTGAACCTGAGTGCTGTCTAAGAACAAGTGCTCTTAACCACTAAGCCATCGTTCCAGCCCAATTTTTCTTTTTAACGTGTAATTTTGGGGTGTGCTGGGCATCTAATCAGGGCTGTATGCATGCTAGGCAAGTGTTCTACCACTAAACTGCATGTCTAAGTCCCGAAAGTCCTTGATTTTTTTTAAAAAAAGTATTAACTTCGTCAAACTTTTATTAGTTGTAATAATTTGTCTACAAGTTGTTTTGTATTTGTCGTGTGTATACATAACTATACCATTCGTGACAAGAATATCTTAAAAACACTTTATTTGTATTCATGTAATTGTGTGTGTGTGCGCTGAGGTCTGCAGAGGCCAAACGCAGGTGGGATCCCTTGAAGCTGGAGTTCCAAGACATTTATAAACCTCTTGATATGGGAGCTGGGAATCGAACTCTGGACTCCTGGTCCCTCAGCAAACTGTCTGAACTGTTGAGCTAGGTCTCCAGTCCCCAGAAAAGGATAGTTTGCTTCTCCTTTTTTGTTTGTTTTTTTCAACAAGGTTTCTCTGTATAGCCCTGGCTATCCTGGAACTCACTCTGTAGACCAGGCTGGCCTCGAACTGAGAAATCTATCTGCCTCTGCCTCCCAAGTGCTGGGATTAAAGGCGTGCGCCACCACCGCCCGGCTGGATAGTTTGTTTCTATTAATCTTTAGTCCTTTCTTTTTCCTACTACCCTGGGTGAAGACCTTGAGGAGCACAATAGGCACACTGGACTCTCCAACCCTAGGATGCCCTCTAGTGTCAGACAACAAACAGCATTAGAGGTTGCTTTTCTAGTGGAAAGTAGGGAGTAGGATGATGCTTCACCACTAGTGGCGAATAGGGTGCTGCGTTTTCTCTAGCAGCATTGCAGCTGCTGCGCCTCTTAGTTGCTAAGCGACCGCGTCGCACTGAGCCCTGGGGCCAAGAGCACGTGCGGGCTCTCCGCAAGGCGGGACTACATCACCCACAATGCCGCGCGCAGCGGGCCCTGGCCGGAGAGTGGGGGAAGGGTGGCGGGGAGGCGGAGCGGAAACGGGGAGTAGAGTCCCCGGGTGCCGAGCGCGCTCTGTCCTACCTCGGTTCTGGCCCGGAGGCTGTTGCGGCGCCGCTGACGCCCGCGGCGGGCTGTGGCTGTAGCTCCAGTTTGTGAGCCCCGCGGCGGCGGTCCGCGTGATTGACGGGAAACCAGCAGGCCAGGTTAGATGGAGGAGCTAGGGGAGGCGGGAGGCGGGAGGCGGTGTCCCTGCGGCCCCGGCTTTGCTAGTTTGACAGCCTCGACCGCCGGGCCGGGCTCCGCGGTGCCCTGCGGGGATGGGCAGTCGCCGCGGCCGTGCGACATGAGATGCCTTTTAAACCTGCCAAACTCTTCTCCTGGGAGGCCGGTGAGGAGGAACTTTATCTGCTGTAGGCTCAGGCGGTGGCAATTGAATGGCCAGGCAGTCAGGATTCGAACCCCTGACGTCCTACTGTCCGCTGCTTCATTCAGGCTTAGTCAGTGGCTCCAAGCCGATTTGTTTCATCCAGCAGATGGAGATCACACATAGTTTTAAGTTGTTAGATTTATGAATAATAAACTATTACACCTTGTTCTTCATTTGATGAGAAGATGTTTTGAATGTGATTCGAAGTGTGTGGACTTTCGGTTAATCATTCGCGCTCTAGGTTGTGTGTTCACTTTATATTTTACTCCTTATATGCAGAGAATTCCTTAAGCTATTTGGCTTCTTAATTTCCGCCCCTTTAAGATGGCTGAGAATGTTCTAAGGAAATTGATGACTCTGCTTTCCTGGGGATCAGCTCTGGAGATACTGTACAAGGACTCACTCACCTCCCCCACCTCCCTAGCCTGGTCCCGTAGGAAGAAACCCTTAAAAGGAGATTAAAGGCTTTGTCCCTCAGATCCAGGTCCTCTGCAGCTTTCCCCTACGTCAACTTTCTGGACTGTTTCTCACTGGTTCAGTCTTCCCTCCCTCCCTCCCTCCCTCCCTCCCTCCCTCCCTCCCTCCCTCTCTCTCTCTCTCTCTCTCTCTCTCTCTCTCTCATTTTCTCTCTGTAGTTCTGGCTGTCCTGGAATTCACTCAGTAGACGATTCAGAGATCCTCCTGCCTCTGCCTCCCTAGTGCTGAAATTAAAGGCGTGTGCCACCATCACCCAGCACGTACTTAGCATTTCTGTTCCCAAGTTGTAGTTTTTGTTCTGGAGATGCATTGAAAGGATGCAGTAAATCTGGTCAGGAACGACTTCAACGTGTTCAAGTTTCGTCAGTTGTTTTTACCCTTGCTTTCTCAATGTTATTGACATTGGGTTTTCAAGGAAATCTTTATAAATCTTTAACCGAATTTCCTTTTCATTTAAGGTGTCTGCCCTGTGTGTACTATTTAGAGTTGAGACACTATAGTGCAATATGTGAAATAATTGAGTAAGCATTGTTTTGAATCTACAGTTGTAATGGGACAGTCAGTGGAGCTGGTGGGCCCGATGGTTGATTTGTCTGTGTAGTACCTTTAGGGAAAGGGAAGCCTTCTGATGATCGCCAGAATAGAAACAACTTATAACTGGGAATTGTGGAAGAAGGCATATGCATGTAAGCATTTCTGATTAACCTTAAAATGTGTGGCAGAAACACTCGTTTTGAAGAAAATGTTTCTTCTGGTGTCACTGAGTGCAGCAGAGAAGGGGAGAACCACAGGAGGTGGCAACCTTGGTTCTTGTCCTGTTCTGCCACCATCTGCATGACCTTAGCTTTGCATTCTCTGCAGTTCCCCTCTCCCGTGTCTACGATCGTGAACTGATCGATTCCAGGGACTCTTCTCTCTCAGACTTTCAATGCTAAGGATCTTGGAACAGCCATTTTACTATAGGGGAAAAGTATAAATTCCCTTACGAATTGATTCGTGCCCTTGTTCCCTGCCCTCATCCACCCTGATGAAAAGGGAGTCTCATGGAAGAGCTAGGACGCTGCAGAAATCACGACCCCCTACCCAGCAGCACCCGCTCGCTGTCTTGTGCTGCGTGTCTCTGTGCTGCCGCTTCTCTTCCTTCCTTCCTGGTGGTCCCGGGTACCTCTCTCCTCCTCACTCACAGCTTCTGGTCTCACTTCTCTAACCCATTTTCATTTTGCCTCTTCATGAATTCATCTACTTCAGCTGTTGTTTTCTCTCTGGCCTCTTTATGTAGAAGGCCCCTGGCAAGGGTGCCCTGTGCTAGTCCAGTCAGCTGGAAAGGGGTGTAGGGCCGCACGACACAAGTTATGATTGGCTAAGGCTCCGAGCAGCTCCGCCTGTGACTGAAATATCTGATGCTGCATAATATGTTTTAGATTAAACACTCACTATAGCACAGTGATTAAGTACTTTTCTTTTGATATAGTGCTTCCTGTTTTTAATCGCAGCCTATTTCAACATAGCTGTAGCTGGACTGGAACTCGCTATGTAGTCCAAGCTGATCTCCAATTTACAGAACTCTAACTGCGTCTGCTTCCCTCATGCTGGAGTTAAAGCCGTGCACCATCAGGCAAGGGTACTTTAGGATACTTTATCCACTTTTTTGACATCTATTTTTATGATTCTTACTGCTTCTTCTGTCTTCCCCAAGATGCCATCTGAAAATGTTACCATATCTGTGTATCACCTTCGCAGGAACTCTCGTGGAGCTTTCTTCAAGGCAGTAGATTTTATTTATTTTTTATCTTTAGTTCTTGGCAGTGTGGGTTGAACTCAGTAGCTATATACCCCGAGGCCTAAGCATCTTCAAGTTTAGACCTAATTATAGAGTTGGTGGCTGTCGCCTATGTTAATTTTTTTCCACCAGATATTTGCTTCAGGCAGTATTATGTAGAGAAAATATTTTAGGAATGGACATTTTCCCCCAGAAATTCCATTCCAGGGCCAAGTCTGGTGTGTGTGTGTGTGTGTGTGTGTGTGTCTGTGTGTGTAGGGCTTAGTTCTGCATCTTGTATTGGAGAGAGCAATGTGTACTTCTGACTGCTGGTGGATATACCATACCTTTTTTATACTCTACACATGCCTCTATGGCTGTGAAGTCCTATGGAGACAACAGGCGGGTGTGATTCTTATAGCACCTTAGGCTGAGTGCAGGCAGCTGTGCTTGTTGGCCGCCGCTGCTGCCGCTGCCTCTGTCAGATATTATTCATAACAGCACAGAACATAGCACTGAATCAAGGCGAAATGGGATTTGAATGAGAGGTTTTAAGGTAGGATTAGCCATCTGTTAATGTTTTTAACATTACAGTTGCTATTACAGTGCTTGCATAAAAAAATATATGGAAATACTTTGTGACAGGCAGTTTAAAAGGAAGGCACTTGTTTTAAAATACTTTTAAAAACTGAAACTCAGCAAGAAATCTTTATCTGTAGATTTTCATGGACATGCCTGCATGCCTGTATGGAAAAATTCTTCAAAATAAAATCTGTAGTGTGTACAGTTTTCTCTGATGATTTCTGTTTTTTTTCTTTTTCTTTCTTTCTTTTTTTTTTTTTTTGCATTGCTAATTGCAAATGATCTGTCTTGTTCCCTGCTTTTAGAGAGCAGTGGGTCCTGAGCTGAGAGTTTGGATGGTGTTGGATGGTCCTGAGTCCCTCTGTGCGCTCCTTCCTTCCTTTCTATAATTCTGGTTTAAGTATTTCATGGTTATGTGTCCTTCTTTTCTTCTAGTAATAAAGCTGGCCTAAGAGGTTTATCTTTTGGTTTGGTGCTCGGGAGAAACCACTAAAATGTTGCTTAACTATTTGGTTATTTGCATGCAGACTGCTTGGTGAGATATGTAAGAGAGCTTTGAATAGTGCGGTCTTTAAAAGCAGCCGCTCTCAACCTGGGGGTTGTGACCTCCACACGGGTACCATATCAGACATTATGATTCATAACAGTAGCAGGATTACAGCTATGAAGTAACAATAAAATAATGTTATGGTTGGGGTTCACCACAACATGAGAAGTGTATTAAAGAGTTACAGCTTTAGGAAGGTTGAGAATTGCCGCTTTAAAGGTTTTTTTTTTTGTGTGTTTTTATTTGTTTTTTGCTGTTTTAAAGTCAGGGTTTCATTGTGTACCCCTGGTTGTCCTCAAACTCCGATCTTGTTTCTGTCTCCTGAGTACCGGACTATAGGCATGCACCACTGCACCTGCTTCCTGTAAAGATTTTAGAAGTTGGAGTGGCAACAATAAACCCTGTAACAAATAGAGAAATTTAGAAAAAACTTCTGCCAGTCTTTGCTGCCTGATGTCTGTACTCCTTAGGGAACATTTTTTTTTCCCCGAGTTTGACACATTGTGCTTAAAATACCTAGTAACAGTTTTCTGTTAACATTCTTGGAATTGTTCCCTAGACTTTGTTCTGCACCTCACTTCCTCTTATCCTCCTCCTATTAGAAAATACAAATTAAGTGGTTTTGTGTTTGTAAAGATCATCACGCCAGGTCATTATTGCTCCTGTGTATTGCCAGATAAACTGACCAGCTCCTAAGAAATGGGACAGCAGGGCTTTCTTTGCCTGGGGTGTGTTGCTTTTTGTGAGGGGAAAATGTCTTTTTTTTTTTTTTTTAAATCAGAGGTGGACAGCCTACTGAGGGCCAAAATTCTGCAAATCTCCCACACCTAGTAAAACATTTATGCAAATCGTTTACTTTCCCCGTATTAGTTTATACAAAGGTAGCCCCTCCCCAACTCCCCAGAAATTGACAGCCTGGGATAGTGGACTCCTTCTTTCCTTCATTCTCTTTGCATGATTCTTTTAAAACTAGCCAATTGGAAAAGACTGTGAGATTGGACCCCAGCCAATGTGGAAAAGATACAAGCACCACCTGTGTTGGAATAAAAAAACCTGAGCTTGCTAGCCTGGTTTGGGTTCTTGGTGAATTGGTTTTCCCAAGAAGGAATTGGTTTACTAAGCTGCTTTCTTTTTATTCCTGTGTTTACTTGTGGGATATAGATATATTGTTTCTTTACTTAACTTTGGTTTGTCTAGACAAGGCCTTATTAGGGCTTGTTAGTCCTTTCCTGCTTATTTGCTTGTAGCCTGCCTTTCTACTACCCTGCTTTAAGCTCTAGGTAGACCGCACTACCAGCCCCCCACCCAGGAGCCACCCCGTGGATGAAGCTCACACACATAATTAACTTATTTTTAATATGCTTTAGCTCAATAGCCAGCCTTCCTCTGCTAGCACCCCCTTCTTTTCACTCCCAGCTCAGCACCCTGAATCTGCCCTCAACTTTAGTTACTCAGTTACCTTTAGTCCTGGCTCAGCACCCTAAATCTGTGCTCAGCTTAGTTGTGTTTCTTATCTCCCACCTGCTACCCCAGGCCCAGATGGGGTAGCAGCCAATGGCCAATCCGACCCAGATTTCACATGTCTGGTGGTTCTTTTTCCCTCTGAAGCATGGCGGATCCTTTTCTCCTCTCCTGCATCTACTAACCTGCCTGTGGGAAAACCAAGTCCCACTTCTTCCGCAGAAACTTTGGCTGCTAGCGTCTTCATTGATCGATCAAGAACCAATTGGGAAACAGGACCTTCAGCGTTCATTCTCAATCAGAGCATCAGAATCATCCCCTACATCTGCTTGCTTTAAAAAAAAAAAGATTTATTTTGCACTCGTGTGTGTATCCCCGTCCATCTGTCCATCTGCCCATGTTCATGGTGGCCAGAAATGGGCTTCAAATTTCATGTAGCTAGAGTTACAGGCTGTGAGCCATCATGGATGGCTGGGATTTGAACTCCTTTCCTCTGAAAAAAGCAGCAAGTGCTCTTAATCATTGAGCCATCTCTCCAGTTCTGCTATTTGCTTGTATTGAGAGTTAAAAAAAAAAAAAGAGCAGTTTCCTTCAAGATTCTGGTCAGATACAAATGTTAATACTTTTAGTTGGTAGGCAATTGGGACCAGATTTTGTAGTTGATAGACCAGTTGCTAACCCCTTTGACCTTAGTCCATACATCATACAGACTTCATCAGACACAGCCTCAGTTTTTGTTTATGTAGAGTAGTGCCTTTTTAATTGTCTCACATATGCTAAGGCATGGTCTTCAGGAAAACAGGAATCCTACATCCACCTTTCACATTGCCAATTTCTGACACATAGTAGGTGCTTTCATAGATGATGTGAATGAATGGATGGATAGAGGAATGAATAAACCAAGCTCCTTCACACGTTAAATGAAACTGTATGTAGCATTGTCTAGACCTTTATTTCCCTCTATTTTTTTTCTATTTTCCTTTTGGATTTTCTGCAGTTGGGAACCTTCCCATAGGAATGTTTAGAAAGTTATTTTAGACCAAAAAAAAAAAGGGGGGGGGATAATGATGGAAATGGTTGTAGCCTGTAGTTTTAAGCTCTACCTGCCTTTGCTCTGGGACATAGCTGTGCTACCAGCCCCCTCTCAGCTTCCTTTGAATCCATGGCTAAAAGACACAGACACATAGTAAATTACTGTTAATTGCTGAAAGTTCAAACTCCTTGTCTGTCCATCTTTCTATATGAAAGCATACATGTAACTCCCAGTGGATGGGAACATGTGTTCATATTGATACCAAAGTGGTTCAGTGGAGTTGGCTTTTCACCTTTATACTTGCCTAGTAAGAATGGGGATTTAGCCACTCTGGCAGTAAGAACTTGTATTCTGGTAAAGGTCACAGGCTTCTACCTCCCTCAAGCAGCAGGATTCTAATGTCACACCAAATGATCTGATTTATAACTCAGAACTTACAATGCCTTCCCTGCAAATCTTGTTGCTGCTTCATTTCATGAAGAGATCTGAGATTCTGGGCAGTGTTCTTCTCTGGTTTTGCTGGACATTGAGGACTAATCTAGTGTTCTCTAAAAAATATTGGTAGCAGCAGGCATGGTAGCACACATCTGTCATCCCAGCCCTTGTAAAGGCTGAGAGGCAAGATGATGGAGGCCATGGAAGTCCATATTACAACCCTTGTAAAGCAATGGCAACTGTAAAACCAGCCATACTGATGCTGGCTGGGAGTGTAGCTCAGTGGTAGGGAGAATGTTTGCCCGCTGTGTAGGAGTGCTCACCAACACATCATTAAAATCAAGACAGGAACAAAGATGAAGCTTGGCTCCCATCCCCATTCTCAGTTAATTGATATAGGGTATGACTTGGTACTGGCATTATAGGGAATCTTGCTAGGTGATTTTTTTTTTGTAAAATATTGCCTGAGAAAGAACAATAGAGGTGTGTACCTTTAAAGACCTAGTTACTTCTTCCTGTGTTGCTTGGAATGGCTTGTGGTTCTCAGGCTAATTCTCAGGTCTTGGGGTGCTGTATGGAACCCTCTTGAACGTTGGAACTTCCTAGCTCTTGGTCAGGTATAAGCTGGCTCCTGGACATCTTTTTAACGGGAAAGGTTCTGGGGTGTTTCTTCTTCTTCGTGGTGTCCACGCCTACTTAATTCCTGGATGTCCCTTCAGAGCTCTAGTGTAGAGTGGGATCCCAGCCTCTCATACCTTTATTATTCCCAGGACAAACCTTCCATCCCCTCCCCTCCCCTCCCCTCCCCTCCCTTTTCCTTTCCGTTTCTCATTTTAGTGTATATTAGCTGTGCAGAGCAGTAGGTTTCGTCGACACGGAAGGGAGTAGTGGAGAATACCCTTCATCATATTCACTCTGTCTAGTACACTTTCTTTGCCCTTCCTCCTTTTTTTTTCTTTTTTCAAATTGTTCCCCTTTTTGTTTCTTTCCTTTAAAGTTAACTGTCACCTGCGAGGGAGCACACGACACTTTGTGAGACTGGCCTGTTCCGCTTAGTGATGATTTCCAGTTCCATCCATTTTCCTGTAAGTGACATAAGCTTGGTTTTCTCTGTGGCTGAGTAAAACCTCTACTGTGTGCATCTAACGCATCGGCAAACACTTTGCATAATAAATATCTTCTTATTACTGTGAAGAATCATGGAGGAGACACCACCATATTTCCTTATCATTCTTGTCTGCGTCCAAACCCCTGACTCCCCATTGAGACGAGCATTTCACCCTGTTAGAGGCTGAGCATTGTCAAGACTAGAAAGACGTGAGAAAGAATGCAGTAGATCCATGTTTATCACCCTGCACAAAACTAAGGCCAAGTGGATCAAAGACCTCAACAAAGAACCAGACACACTAAATCTAATAGAAATAAAAATGGGAAACTGCCTTGAACGCATTGGTACAGGAGACAAATTCCTGAACAGAACACTTAGTTCTCAGGTGCTAGGGTCAACAATTAATAAATAGGACTTCATTGAACTGAAAAGCTTCTCTAAGGCTAAGGACACCATCAATAGGACAAAACGGCAGCCTACAGATTGGGAAAACATATTCACCAACACTACATATGACAGAGGGCTAGTATCTAAAATATATAAAAACTCAAGAAATTAGACTCCAGTAAACCAAATAACCCAATTAAAAAATGGGGTTCAGAGCTAAACAGAATTCTCAATAGAATCTCTAATAACTGAGAAACCCTTAAAGAAATGTTCAACGTCCTTAGTCATCAGGGAAATGCAAACCAAAATGACCCTGAGATTCTACCTTATACCAATCAGAATGGCCAAGATCAAAAATTCAAGTGACAGCACATGCTGACAAGGATATGGAGCAAGGGCAACACTCCTCCATTGCTGACGGGAGTGAAATCTTATACAACCACTCTGGAAATCAATTTGGCGGTTTCTCAGAAAATTGGGAATAGTTCTACCCCAGGACCTAGCTCTGCCATTCCTGGGTATGTAACCCAAAGATATTCCACCATGCCACAAGGATACTTGCTTGTTTATGTTCAAAGTAACTTTATTTGTAGTAGCCAGAAATGGGAAAAAACAAAAAACAAAAAACAACCCCAAATGTCCTTCACCTGAAGAAAATGTGATTCACTTACACAGTGGAATACTACTCAGCTATTAAAAACAACGACATCATGACATTTGCAGGCGAATGGATGGAACTAGAAAATATCATCCCGAGTGAGGTAATATAGACCCAAAAGGACATGCATGGTATTTACTCACTTATAAATGGGTATTAGCCATAAAGTGCAGGATACCCATGCTCTAATCCACAGACCCAAAGAAGCTAACAAGGAGGGCCTAAGGGAGGATGCTTGAATTTCTCTCAGAAGGAGAAATAAAATAGTCAATGGAGGTAGATGGAGAGTGGGATCTGGGGCGGGGGGGGGGGAGGAGGGGGAGGGGAGGGGGAGGGGAGGGGAAGGGGAGGAGATCGGTCGGGTATAGGGAGAGCCTGGGAGAGAGGACTCCCAGAGACTGAACCACCAACCAAAGAACATGCATGGGCTGGGCCTAGATCCTCCCCTTCTGCACATATGTAGCAGAAGTGCAGCTTGCTTTTCATGTGGATCCCCCAGTAACTGGAGTGTGTGTGTGTGTGTGTGTGTGTGTCCCTGACTCTGTCGTCTGTCTGTGGATCCAGTTCCCCTAACTGAGCTGCCTTGTCTGGCCTCAGTGGGAGAGGATGTGCCTAGTCCTGCAGTGACTTGATGTGCCAGGGTAGGTTGGCACTCAGGGGTGCCTACCCCTCTTCAGAGGAGAAGGGAAGAGGCATGGAGGGAGGGGCTTTGTGAGGGGGATACTGGGGGGAGCGGGGGAGGGGGGGTGCTGCAAACGGGATGTAAAGTAGATAAATAAATTAACGGGGGAAAAAAAGATTAGAAATAACTCCTGATCAAGAAAATAGAATCTGTGGCCTGGGTAGAGACCTAACCTTCCAACTGGGCGTGGTCAAGGAGCCTAGGAAGCCATGCTTACTTTAAGGCATGGTAGAGATAGGTGCAGTAATTAGTCCTTCAGTGTGACATGTACCTTTCCTTCCCAAGCTCCACTCTGGAGCATCAGCTCACCAGGCCACAGCTTCCTGAGCCTGCTGGCTGTTCTGAGTCAGTCAGAAAGCTCTCACTTCTCATTTTTGTTCTCTTCTTTTTTTTCAGCGTGCTTTCCTTAATACTTTGAATTTCCTGTTATTTTGTGCTTTCGTACGCTCCTCAAACTCCCCCCCCCCCAGCCTTAGTCATACTGCTGCTTGTCCGTTATATGTCTAACTTTCGTGCTGGCTCAGATAAATCTGTTGAGATTTACAGTTTGCCTGCCCTTGGGGTTTCCGGTTAAATGCTAATAAAAATGTCCTTGACTTTCCTCTGGGTCCATTTTTAAAATCTCTTGTTCATAAGATTAAGAGCCCTGAGAGGAGACTTGGGTTTTCCTGTATCAGTACTGAGCAGGTTCTCTGTAGAATCCATGCTGGACTGCTCTTGCCTTTATGAAGGTCTCTGACCAACGGTGAAGTCAGATCTTATATTTAGACATCTGGGGTTGAGTAACTTATTGAGAGTTGTTGTTTTGTTTGTTTGTTTGTTTTTCTTTTTAAATTGGGAAACAGTAAAAGATTTCTCAGTGTGCAGCAGCCGGATGTGAATTTAAAACCAAATGCATATTGAGCCCAAGATGTTGGTGGCTGTGTGTATCCCATGCTGTACCACGTGGCTTCGCTGTGGCCTTGGTTCTGAGCGCACAGCATGCACTGCGCTTGTCCTCATGCTGGCTTAAACACAGGGCTGGCAGTCCAGCCCCTTGCGTGTTATACATAGCTGTGCTTGCATCGTACACACAGCTTTGCTGCCCATATGGTTTACCTATGGCAAACAGCAGCTTTGCTGCTTTCCTGCTGCCGGGTCCTCAGCACACAGTGTATGGTTGGATGTGCTTTCTCTTCCCTCTCCTCTCTCTTTCTTAGCCGCCATTTAACTCTTCATCTGCCAGAAACACCTGGCTGGCCTTGTTCTCAGTTCTCCAGTGATGTCACGTTTCTGGCTTGGCAGTCATGCCGACTTGTCTTTTGAACTAACTGGAGAGTCCCAGTGCTCTTTTCATAGGGACACACAGCTTAATCTGCATCTCTGTTATAAATATGTGAGGCAGTGGATCTGTGTGAGTTTGAGGCCAGCTTTGATGTATGCAGTGAGTCCCAGGCCATCCAGGATGCATAGTGAGAGCTTGTCTCAAATAAAACAAAAAAATCGAAAGCATCTCTTCTAGAAAGCACATTTCTAGGGAATCCAGGGCATCCTTTGTGCAGAACTTAGTATGTGCTGAATGAAAGTTATAAAGCTTCGAAGTCTTTGGGTTGATTTGTCTTGCTGTGTAGCTAAGACTGATGACACTCCCATGCAGCCTAGGCTGACCTAGAGCTGACACGCTCTGTCTTTGCCTCCCATGTGCTGGGATTGCCCATGTGCCCCTGCACCGGGCTCGATACCTTTATATTACTGTATCGTATTCACCTGTAGTTGTAGATTCCAAGTAGGTTATACTTGGTTTTGTTATTCCCTTGTAGACAGATCAGTTTGCACTGCAGAAATGTAATCATCCCTAAAGTCTATTTTTAGTAAGCCATGAAGTAGTCATGGGAAATGCACTATAGATTTTTACTTCGATATTAACCCCCCTCTGGGTGATGAAACCGGAGCTTTATTTCCTGAGCATTTAGGCGGTTTATAAACACTAATGCTTGTGTTCTAACTCTTTCCAAGTTTTGTGATTTTTTAACCTTTGACCTGATTACTCTCCATTCTAGGGCGGACGCTTCCCAGGGTTAGTGCAGTGTCATTAGTAATCTCACCTAGCGGCACATTCAAATGTCAGCACACATTTTATCACGGGCATTCTTGCTAGCTAGGCATTTTGATTTTCTGTATTTGCTTTTCATCATTTCTGACTTTTATTTTGACACTCCTGTTTGCGCTTCCTTTAGGAATCGCCTTTGTGTTGGTGTTGGTGGCCGTGTTTGAACAGACAGAACTTAGAATCTTGTATTGTCTGTCAACCTTATCAATGGCTTTAGTGACAGATGAGAAGTCATTCAAAATTTTATGACTATGGTGGCACATTTTTCAGCTATTAACAAATTTATATTTATCTCTAGCTTAATTTTGAAAAGATATGAAAAGGAACTGATAGATGACAGAGAAAGCTGTCAGGGAGGGTGACAGTAGCAAATCAGAAGGCTGGCAGTGTCCTCGTTTATCCTGGTGCTGGTGCAGGTGGCACTGACCCTTTGCCCTTCATTTACAGTTGTGTGAGAGCAGACGCAGCCCTGCTGAAGATGGACAGACCGCAGTAGACAGTGGCTCCTCCCCTTTCCTCTCAAAAGACTTGATCACTTGGTGTCTCGCTTCCAGTTACTGCTCCACGATCGAGTCTGTTGGCTTTCTTTATCAGACATGTTCCGAACAATCTCAAGAAAAAACATGTCGCAGAAACTGAGCTTCCTGTTGCTGGTGTTCGGACTCATCTGGGGACTGATGCTGCTTCACTACACTTTGCAGCAGCCGCGGCGGCAGAGCAGCGTCAAGCTTCGTGAGCAGATCCTTGACTTAAGCAAGAGATACGTGAAGGCTCTGGCGGAGGAGAGCCGGAGCACGGCGGATGCGGACAGCGGCGCCTCCATGGCGGGCTATGGTAAGACCCACGCGATGTCTCCTGTCGTCTTCTCAGCTCATCCCTGTGTAAATACACGCACAGGAATTGACCTCAGCAGCCATGTGTGCTCCTTATAAATTGATTTTAAAAAAATTACAGGTGCCGGGCATTGGTGGCGCACGCCTTTAATCCCAGCACTTGGGAGGCAGAGGCAGGAGGATTTCTGAGTTCGAGGCCAGCCTGGTCTACCGAGTGAGTTCCAGGACAGCCAAAGCTGCATAGAGAAAGCCTGTCTCGAAAAACAAAACAAAACAAAACAAAACAAAACAAAAATTACAGGTGAATATTTTCAAATGGAAAGTAGAAACATAGTACTTATATATTCCTCACCCAGATTTAAGTTATTAATATTTACACAAAATTCATTATAGTTTAAGTACATTATAGAAATTGTGATATTCATCTCTTCAAAATATGTACGTGTAAGGTATATTACATGCATTTAAAAATCAATATGTAACAGTATTACTGTTTTATATATATGTATGTTTTTGTTTTTGAGACAGGGTTTCTCTGTATAGCCCGGGCTGTCCTGGAACTCACTCTGTAGACCAGGCTGGCCTCAAACTCAGAAATCCACCTGCTTCTGCCTCCCAAGTACTGGGATTAAAGGCATGTACCACCACTGCCCGGCTATATATATATGTATATATTTAGATTTTTTTTGACTTCTCAATATAAAACATCAAATAGAACATCAAATAGACAACATCTATTAAGTCCTAAGAAACAGGATTTACCTGTAGTTCGAGCATTGCTTACTGCCACTCTCCCTTTCATAGCTTAGGTTCCTACTGTTTTAAGTTTTCTGTTGTTGTTTTGTGAGACAGGGTGTCTGTATGTAGTTCTGGCTGCTCTGAAACTCACCACATAGACCAAGCTGTCCTTGAACTCACAGAGATCCACTTGCCTCCGCTGTCCCAGTGCTGGGATTAAAGGCATGGACCACCACATCTGGCTCGTTTGAAGTTCTTTATGTGTGCCAATCTCTTCCTTTTAGATGAGATGGGAAGTTAGGAAGTCTGAATGAAGCCTGCTCATTCAGTGCTGGGAGTCCAATCCAGGGCCTTCACATCGTGCTAGGCTAGCACACTGTCTTAGGGTGTCATTGCTGTGACGAGACAGCATGATTATGGCAACTCTTACAAAGGACAATTAATTGGGGCTGGTCTACAGTTTCAGAGGTTTAGTCCATTATCATCATGGCAGGAAGCATGGCAGCATGCAGGCAGACATGGTGCTGGAGAAAGAACTGAGAGCCCTACATCTTGATCTGCAGGCAGCAGGAGACTGAGAAGCACTGGTCAGACTTGAGCTAATAAGATCTCAAAGCCCATCCCCACAATGACACACTTCCTCCAACAAGGCCACACCCATTCCATCAAGGCCACACCTCCTAGTAGTGCCACTCTCTATGGGCCACACATTCCCTCGCATTAGTCCTTAGGGGCATTCCTGTTCAAACCACCACACATTCTAACCCAAGCTATAACCCTAGCTGTTTTATTTAATTAATTTTTTATTTTGAGGCAGAGTCTCATGTTTCCCAGGTTGGCCTTGAATTTACCTTGTAGTTGAATATGGCTTTGAACTTCTGATCTTCCTTTATCTCACTGGTACTGAATTATGGGCTGTGCCTTGACTCTTGGTTTATGTGTTGTCAGACTTAGGGTTCTGTGCATACTAGGTGAGCAATTTACTGATAGAGCTGTGTGCCCGATGCTGTTTGTTTGGGAGACAGGTTCTTGCTTTGTAAATTAGGCTGACCTCAGGCTTCTGTGGGGAGCTTGTTGGTTGAGTGTTGGTTTGCTTTTGTTCAAGTCGCCTTTGTCTTTCAGCAGAGGTGTTTGTAATGCCTCCTGAGGAAAGGCCGGACTCACAGCTTTGTCACAATGTGTCTCAAGGGCTGTGAGTTCAAGAGTGCAGTAGCATGCCATCCCAAGGCTGCTCTGACATCCTTTCTGCCTTTTTCTTCTGTAGTATTTCCTGAGCCTTGGAGGAGGAGATACAGATGCCCCATTTTTGGTTTCCATGTTAGAAAGAAAAGGCCAAGCATAGTGGAGCGTTACCTGTAATCCCAGCATTAGGGGGATCCCTGGGGCCTGATGGCCAGCTAGTCTAACTGGATCGGCAAATTCTAGCTAGGTACAGTGTGAGACTCTGTGTCAAAAATAAGTGACAGCTGAGGCTAAGTGGCTGTTGTGCTAAGCTATGATCTGAGCATCTGTATCTGCCCCCATTCCTGTCCCTTTGGTCTTTTGAGACAAGGTTTTGCTTTGTAGTGCGGTGTCTTAGTTAGGGTTTCTATTGCTGCAACAAAACACAGTAACAAAAGCAAGTTGGGGAGGAAAGGGTTTATTTGGAATTGTAGGTTGCTGTGAGCTGCCTGATACGAGTGCTGGAGACTGAACTCAAGGTCCTTTGGAAGGTCAATGGCGCTCCTCACCACGGCCGTCTCTGCAGCCCCCTGGTTCTCCTCAGTGTTTCTTTGATTGTCCACCATTGTCCACCATTTCTTTCTGAAAATTTAACAATTTCACAAAAAATCGTGAACTTGCCATTTAATTATAATGTAATTCGCTGGTATTCATAGAGGTGTGTGTATGTCTCACACTTTTTCTGAGAGCACAGCTACTGTCAGCTTTATCAGCTGGGGTTAGATGATTTTCCTGGGGATCACAGACCAGGGGTGGAGCTGACATTTTTGGTCAGGATCAACAAAAAAATAGCAGTATCAGTTGCCATGATTGAGTCCCTAATGTCTGTGCAAAGCCTATGAGAAACATGAAGGGCAAGTCCCAAGGGAAGGAGCCTGTTTTTTTTTTTTTTTCCTCTAGCTAGGAAAAATGTACTAAATCCTCTCCACTGTCCACAGAGGTTAAGAGTCTTTCTGCAAGAACTAGATCCAGGCCTGCAGCCCTGGCCAGGTCTCCTGAGTGTGCAGTATTAGCAATAGACACAGTGTATCTTTCCACAAGGTTAGAATTCATGTAGTGATAGTAAATTCACAAGTTTTATTGACTGCAGTTTTCCAGATGGTTCCAGCTATCCTGACAGTGAAGCCGTGAGATCATTTATTCCAATCTTAATTACTAATAATGCTCAGATCACAGAGTTTATTATTGTGTGCATGTGTATTGTATGGCTGTGTGTCTCATCATGTTCCTGAGTGTGTGTGTGTGTGTATGCGCGCACATGCATGCAAGTCAGAAACAAGGTTTAGGAGTCAGTTCTCTCTTACTGTGGGTGCTGGGGATTGAAGTCATGTTCTCAGGCTTTTACAGCAGGAGTTTTACCCACAAGCCACCTGGCCTGCCCTCAGACCACACATCTCCCTTCACAATTGTGTGTAGGTTTCAGGAACTCAGGTCCTTGAATAGGAAACACACACACACAGACACACACAGACACACACAGACATAGCCAGACAGACACACACATATATACATATGCGCACATACACAGATACACACTCACCAGTTTTTCTTAAAATGCTTTGACTAACTCAGTGACTGGACACTCCTAATCCTTCTGCTACCCCAGGCCCACCTGGGGAAGTGGCCAGAGGCCACTTACCAGAAAACTCACATGGTAGGTTTTCTCCTGCTGCAACTGTGGTCCCTTCTTCCTCTGGAGTCTTCCTCTGATTCTCTCTCTGCTTCTTGCCTACTCAGCCCTCAGTGGTCCCGCCCCATGCTCAGTCATTGGCTGCTGGCATTTTATTGGTAGATCAAAACCCAATTGGTGGCAATGGCCTTCAGCATCAATAAACAGAGATTCCTGATCAAAGGGTTAACCCACCCTCTATATCTATCCTCTCTTGATACAGTGCGGATGGTTGTACCACAGGTAGGTGGGCTGTTGTCACGGCCTCAGTGTTAGTTGGCTCTCTCTTTACTGCACCCAGGTGAGGATGTTGTGTCCTTCGTGGGTCTGGTGTTTACCTTCTTGCTCATATGGCGCAGTTGCTTCATGGTTAGTGCTGGCCAGGTTTGCATGGCAGTCTGCATACAAACAAGAATGCAAAGTCAAATGCCTCTGTGTTTGTCCTTGGCATTGGAGCCAGAGGCTGCTGCTGGAGTAGCATGGAGGCCTGTAGGCTGAGCCCAAAAGAATAACTTAGGTCAGGGCGGGTCATTGCCCTGTGCTCCCCACCCCTGCTCCCCACTGGAGCGTCAGGGTCTGGCTTGTGTGGGGGTCAGTTGCTTATGGGGCTCTCCTTGCCTGCCTTCACTAGTTCCTCACCTGCCTGGTCCACCCTTCTTACACCCTACTCAGAAACTCAGCATAGAGTCCCAAGAGGGGGCTCACTGGTAAGAGTGTTGCCTTCTCTTCCCAAGAACCCAGAAGCACCCACATGGAGATCACAGCTGTCTTTAACTCTAGCATGGAACCCACCACCCTCTCTGGCTTCTGGGCACCAGGCAGATACATGGTGCACAGGCATACACGCAGATCAAGTACCTATACACATACAATAAATATGTATGTTAGCAGTACGAAACAGTCTCAATGTGCTCCTTACAGAGGGACTGGTGTTTGGAGCCAGACTTTAAATCTGAAGCACTGCTCTGAGAAGTGGGGAACCCAGGTATGCTCGCAACCCTGCTGCTGTGGGTGTGGCCCTAGGAGTGAGTGTGATTAGGCTCTCCCCGTGTGGGCTCCGAGTATCTCCTCTGTAGCACGTTTTCTTTCAGATATCTGATCATTGTTTAGTTCTTTCCCTCAAACTGTAAAGACATAAGTATTAAGTCTTTATTGCCATTTAATCTCATTGACTCCCGTTTTCCCCCGTAGCTGATCTGAAGAGAACAATCGCGGTCCTCTTAGACGACATTTTGCAGCGCTTGGTGAAGCTGGAGAGCAAGGTCGACTACATCGTTGTGAACGGTTCAGCCGCCAACACTACCAATGGCACCAACGGGAATCTGCTGCCCGTAACGACCAACAAAAGGACGAGTGTTTCGGGCAGCGTCAGATAGCAATGAAGGCCACCTTGCATGGCTACACCACTGTGGATTACGTCCACCGCAGGACTCCTCTTCAACTGCTGCCTAGGACAGAGTCATACTTGACAATAAAAGCTCTCCACATTCCCACGGAGCTCGCTGGATTCATAGGACGCTAATTCTGTATATATAATCGCAGGCATTTTTAGTTTGCTTTGACACAAAGCTCTTTAATGCTGTTCTGTACCCTTAACAGGAATTCGGTAACAAGGTTGAGATGGTAAGCAGAGAGGTCACCTCTGTACAGAGATCAAGAAACAAAAGCACCAGAAAGACATGGAGTCCTGTCTATAAATACTTATTTAAGTATATAACATGTTTGTCAGATAAGTGGACAGTAACGTTCCATTCAGTCTGTCACCTGCCCTCGGCAGTATCCCTGTGAGTAGAAAATGCGCTGGCTTCCAGAACTATATTTTGTTACTCAAATTATGAGCAGAGAAAGGAAGTGTCATGTCGAGAATCATGTTTTGAAGTGGACCCAAAGAGTGTTTTCATTTGCACTATCCTTCAAAATAACTGGAGGTTAATTGTATATTTTTAAAAATAGCGTTTTTAAGAGGATAATTTTGAAATGGGTAGCAGCCACTGTTGGTGGCTAACCATCGGGGACAGTTTAATAGAGGTGAGAGTCATAGCCAATCTCATACTTTAAAATTTCTTACGTATATTCTGCAGAATAATACATATTTTTATGATGAAATGAAAAATAAAATATGTGTAATTTTTCACAATCACAGTTGTCGATTTGAAAGTAAACCTCGGTGTCATATGCCTATAGCCGTGGAACTTAGGAGGCTGGGACAGGAGAGTTGTAAGCTCAGTGCCAGCCTGGGCAACAGAGCAGACCCTATGTAAAAACCATTGACCGTTTCTCCTATGAGGAAAGTACATCATTTCCATATTTTGGTAAGTGTTGCTTTGGTTATTTCAGTGGAGGAAGGAAAGGACTTGATGACTTTAGCCAGATGTATATAATAAATGTTATTTGTGCTGCACAAAACTGCTTGGAAAATTAATGTGAGTTGATGTTATTTAAGAGTAGCCTGTGTTAGGAGACGTCAGATTAGCTATTCATTTTATATAATGACCACTTTACAAAATTAAGAACATTAAAATATAAATTATGAAGATTGTTTATCTCTTTAGAGAAACAGCTACTGTATACAGCACAAGAAATCTTGACTTGGTTAATTCTAGTATAGAGTAAAACGTCTTTATTTAAATAGCCTTTGTAGCAAATCCAATTGCTATATAGTATTCTATATTTCGTAGTATTTATTCTATATAATAACTGCTTATGTGCAGCTAGCCTCTAGATTTAGACTAAATTGAGTTTAGTTTTTGATATTTTTCATTTATTATAATGCTCCCACAAAAGTAGCAGCGATTATAATATTTTGTTAAAATAAGTATAAGAAATATATTGTTTCATGAAAGATAACTTTCTGAAATGTCTTCCCTGTACCTTTATGTGAAGAAATGATGTCCCATTGCCAGTAGATTCTGCAGTACCGTTCAGTCTCTGCTGAGTCCTGAGTATCTCTGATTTCATTGCTTTCAGGGATGAAATAAAATATATTGTTTGTATTCACAATTGTCATTTTTGTTTTGTTTTGGTTTTGGTTTTCAGGATGGGTTTTTCTGTGTAACAGTCTTTGCTATCGTGGAACTCAAAGAGATCTGCCTGCCTCTGCCTCCCGAGCGCTAGAATTAAAGGCCTGGACCACCCGGCCTGGCTTGTTACATGGTTTTAAAAACAGCAGTCATGCATTTAATAGATGGCAAGTGATTTGTTCCTTTCTTAAAGTGCTGGGTGTGGAATCCAGGGCTTTACACATGAAAAGTAGTTCTCTATCACTGAGGCTTGTTCACAGCCTGTAATGGTAAGACTAAAAATAATATTAACACAAATTTGTGTTTGATTTCAAATCCAACAATCTTTTACAAATATATATATATATTAGCAAGAAAACCCAAGAGGCTGGGAATGTGACCACTTGGTAGTGTGATTGCCTGGCATGCTTGAAACCCTGGTTCCAACCCCAGCACTTAAACCAATGTGGTGAGGCATACCTGTAATGCCGGAATGAATGAGTCTTAAGAACTTTGCTTAGGTGATGGTAAGGGTCATAAGTTAAAAAACAATATAAATCATTTTGTTTTAATCATTGCAAAATGAGAAGAAAACCTGAAATTTTTCTTACCAGGGCTAACTACTACTGACATTTTTGGTATATAAATGGGACCTCTGGGCTGGCATTGTGGTTCAGTGGTAGAATTTACTTCGGATGTGCAGCTGTGTCGCTAGCACCAGCCCATCGCTCAGCCCGTCATCTTTGTCCGCGTTCTCTGTTGGTTTCCCTTTCCCCTTGGTGCTGGCTAGAGTTCTCTGACAGGAAGGAGCCTGGTTGAGAAAAATGCCTCCGTGAGATCCAGCTGTAAGGCATTTTCTTAATTACTGATCAATGAAGGGAGGTCCCATCCCATTGTGGGTGGTGCCATCCCTGGACTGGTGGTCCTGGGTTCTATAAGAAAGCAGGCTGAGCAAGCCATGGAGAAGAAGCCCTCCATAGCCTCTGCATCAGCCTCTGCCTCCAGGTTCCTGCTGAGATCATGACCAAAAAGCAGTTTGGGGAGGAAATGGTTTATTTATAGAAATCTTACACTTCTATATTGCTGATCATCATCTAAGGAAATCCGGACAAGAACTTAAACACGGCAGGAACCTGGAGGCAGGAGCTGATGCAGAGGCCACGGAGGGATACCGTGTCTCCAATGTATGTGTATTGTGTTTATGTATGTTTGTGTGTGCATGTTCATGTGTGTGCACAGCACAGCACAGCACAACCTCAGGAATCATTCCTTAAGTGTTGTCCAGGACTCTACAACTCTCCCTTGCTTCTCTGGCTGCTGTAAACAAAAGGACTGTCAATCAAATGGTCAGCTGGATTACCTGTATACCAATGCCAGCCTTTGAACATTTAACTGATAACCTGAGAAAGAACTATACAATGATACCATTTTATAGGTATGTTAGTCAAACTGTACTGTGTACTCTCCAGCATCTCAAGTGACAGTGAGGTACCAGATATTTTGTTTATCATAAACCTCACTGAGGGCTGGAGAGATGGCTCAGCGGTTAAGAGCAGTGACTGCTCTTGCAGAGGTCCTGAGTTCAAATCCCAGCAACCACATGGTGGCTCACAACCATCCTTAATGAGATTGGATGCCCTCTTCTGGTGTGTCTGAAGACAGCTACAGTGTACTCATCAATAAAATAAATAAATAAATCTTTAAAAAAAAAAAACCTCACTGAACTGTAGATGACTGAAGTCATTTCCACATAGGTCAGAGGGGGTCCCACAGAGGGACTGTTGTGTGACTGGTGCACATATAAGCTATCAAGGTTTTCTGTTACTTATATAATCACAAAGATTCATTTGCCATGAGATTGCCGCTCAGCTTACTGGGTAAGTCAGAGGGTAGACATCTTCCTCCCCTGGATGTCGGCAACTTTCATTGATGTCTCAGTTACTAGTGTTTCTATTGCTGTGATAAAACACCATGACCAAGGCAACTTAAGGAAGGGTCTGCTTGAACTTACGATTCCAGAGGAATAAGAATCTATCATAGCAAGGAACATAGTAGGCACGATAGCTGGCGTAGTAGCTGAGAGCTCACATAACTACAAAAGGCTATTCTATATGATGTGATTATTTTGAAATCTCAAAGTCTACCTCCAGTGACACACTTCCAGCAGCAAGGCTGTACCTCCTGATTCTTCCCAAATAACCAACTGGGAAGCAAATAGTCAAATGCCTGAGATTTATGGATGGCATCACATTCAAACCACCACAACTGTCAGTTTGACTGGCTTTAAAAATCACTAGGGATTCATCCCGCTGGGTATAATTATGAGGGTGCCTCCAGAACAGATTGAGGAGGTAAGAACCACCTGAATGTGTGGCACCATTCCATGGCCTGCGGAGTCGTAGAGTGAATACAAAGGGGAAAGGAGCTGAACACCGGCATTCCTTTCCCTCCACTTCCTGACTGCACACACTATGTGAGCAGCTGCCTCGGTTCCTACTGCGTGAACTGTACTCTAACACTGTGAGTCAAAAGGAACCCATCCTCCCTCAAGCTCTGTCAGCTGTTTTGCTCCAGTAACAAGAAAGGTAACTGTTGCATCTGGTTTTGCAACATTAGGCACAAAATGAAAGACTTCTCTGTGGGGATGTCTTTTCTTTGATACTGTGGGTTAAGCGGGTGACATGAAGAAAGAAGAGGAGCAGTGACATCTGGCATTTGGCATCTGGTACTCTGAGCCCTCAAAGCCAAGCTGAGGCTAGTGGATAACCAAAACTGAGATGGAACTGCAAGGTCAGGGGCAGTGGTGGCAGCAGCAATAGAGAGTGGTGAGTAGCAGCAAGCTTGCTGGCAGCTAGAGCAGCGACAGGCAGGTGAGCAATCCTAGGGAGTGGTGGGGCAGGATAGGGTACAGTGGAAGTCATGAAAGCATGGAGACCTGAGATAGAAGTAGGGTAGAAGGCTGTGAAGAGCCAGAGGAGAGAACCCACAGGCTTTGCTTGCTGAGAGAACTGTCAAGCCTTTAGGACCAAGGGTCTCAGATTCTTCAGACCAAGAGTTACAATGTTGGCTACTGCTTAAGGAATCTGAATTTAAGAGTTCTGGAATCCTAGGCTTGCGTGGCTAAGTAGATTACACTGACTACCTAGAAGAGAGACACCGACTGCTGCTCCCTGCTGCATGGATACAGAAGCTGCCAAACACTGCCATAAAGTAGCTGCTTTGCCCACCAGACTCCTATGGAGAGCAATAGGACTCCAGTCAGTTAGTGAGTGGTATCATGAGCAGAGGCTAGATGGATTTTTGCAGAGTAAGGAAGAAGATGGAGATATTTATACAATGCCTAATGCATACTGAGTTAGTGAGTCAGGAGGGTTAAATGTCTCAGGAGGAGTTGGTAATTATATAGCCTTTTCAAGTCGTTTTTATTTAGGGTGGAAGTATGGGGTTAGCTCAAGACTGAACCCAGATATGCCAAGGACATGCAATTTTGTAACTTTTGGCATTAAATAATTCAATAGTAGAGGACATATCAGGGAGTTAAGCTGTAAAGAGTTTTTTTAAATGTTTGTTGCTTTTTAAATTTGATCAGTAGTACCAGTATCTTTTAAATCTCTGTTCAGAAGGATTTAGGACCTCAACTCACTAAGTCCTTAGCAGGTCAAATGTATCTTCATATTCCTTTTGCGTGTAGGTTAGCAACGTCTTTAAAAACCAGTCTTTAGGAGGCCGAAGAGATGGTTCAAGAGTTAAGAGCACTTGCTGCTCTTCTAGAAGACCTGGGATGGATTCCCAGCACCCACATGGCAGCTCACAACTGTTCATAACTCCAGTGTCAGCAGATCCAATTCCCTCTTCTGGCCTCTGTGGGCTCTGTACACACACGATGCACAGACAGACATACAGGCAAGACACCCATCCACAACAATATTGCAATTGAAAAAAAAACCACTTAAAATTCTTTTTGGTGTTTAATTTATCTGCTTCTTTTTCTTCATTGTCATAGTTTGCTTTTCTGTTGCTATGATAAAACAATGACCAAAGGGGTTCATTTGACTTCTATTTCTGCATTACAATTATTGATGGCTGGAGAGTTGCCTCAGTGGTTTAGAGCACTTAATATTCTTATAAAGGACCTGGCCTGGGTTTGATTCCTAGCATCACATGGAGGCTTACCATGTCCTCCAGCACAGGTATGTATGTGGTATACAGACATACATGCAGGCGAAACTCTCATAGACACAGAGTAAGACAAATCTTTAAAAACAAAAACAATTCACCATTCACAGCAGACAGGGCAGGAGCTGAAGCAGAGCATATGGAGGAGTGCTGCTTCCTGGCTTGCTCCCCATAGCTTGCTCAGACTGCTTTCTTATGGAACCCAGGACCATCAGCCCACGGGGTGGTACCACCCACAGTCATTGGGCCCTTCCACATCAATCATTAACCAATAAAAAAAAATGCCCTAGAGACTTGGCTACAGGCTAATCTGAGGAAAGCATTTTCTCAATTGAGGCTGTATAAATGCTCGGCTGTGAGGAGGGCTGGTGGTTGTTGGTCATTGGGGGTGGGGTGGGGTGGTGATTGTGTTTTGCTGGTAGATGTGCTCAAAGATGAAACAGGAAGAAAGAAATCAGATTCCAGAGCTCTCTAATTCTCTCTCCCCCCTCTATCCTTTTTTTCTCCTATCTGGCGATAGGAGCAGAAGTGAGGGAAAGAAGGACCCGCAAAGCAGTAGATTGTAGTAACAGGGAGTGGTATGTTGGGTTTTTATGATTGTCATAAAAACAATCACAAATTTAATGGGTGAAAACAAATTATTCCCGTATGGTTCTGGGGTTCAGAAATCTGAAATCAGTTATCTTGGCTGAGATCAAGATGTTGGCAGGACCTGCTCCCTCTGGAGGCCCCAGGTGGAAGAATGCATTCCTGGCCTGCTGTCCCTGCCTCCTCTCCCCTTAAGACTCCATTCCTTGCATTTTCTGGCTCACAGCCTCCTTTCCATT